TGCGCGCCGACTCTTGTGTTTCCTTTTCTTTTATTGTTTGCACTAGCTCCTCACCGTCTGCGATGTATTTCAAGAGAGGAAAATCTCTCTTGCTGATTGGGAGAGCGAACTTCGGAAGAGAATTGAATAAAATTGTTACAACAAATAAATATTGAAATATGGAAAGGTCGCCAGAGCCATCAATAAATATTTATATAAATATTTATAAAATATAATTATAATATAAATACAATCATTCAACATTTGTCAAGTGAAGAACTCGGCAACAATCGATTCGATTGTTCACGGTCTGCTTATTTGATATTCAATTTGTCCTGACAAACAGACAAAGGAGGAACGCAGGAAACAAGCCCATGACACACCACAAACATAAAGTTATTATAAGTACAGATGAAGTGAAAGTGCGCTGAGACAAACGAAACGAATTTCATAATGTGGCAAGAACCGAAGCCAAAAGACAATCAACCAACAGAAGAAGCCAAAGCCAAAGCCAATAGCAGAAGTTGTGAATGCCAAGCTAAACACAAGTAACAAAGACTCTCGTGTTCGAGTTGCAGGGGTCGTATGAGTAATGAAAAATAGAAAAAGAAAAACTGAGTGCTCGACTAGAAAATATCCTCTAAACAGCTGCGAATTGAGGTAGCAGGCATTCCAACTGTTTTCTACTTCTACTTCCCTTGGCCTTTTGTTGCGGAGAGTTTGAGATATCCAAAAAGAAAACAGAGCTCATCTGTGGAAGTTCTCACGCCTAGAATCTCTAAGATAAGTTTAAAAAGTGGCACTGAACTATAGATTTCATATTTTATGAGATCAGCGAGATTGAAAGATATTCATGACTAGTTCGACTCGGCTGCTTATCGAAACACAACTTCCTGCTTCTGTCTGTTACAGACAGTAACCAGTATACCCTGCTTAGATATTTGCCACAGGGTTTTAAAAAAAAAGAACATAATGGGTGGAAAAAACATTTGACACACACGCAGACGGAAAAACAACTGTGACAAAGATAAAGTTTTCATTACACAGACGGCAAAAGCAAGGAAAAACCGAGCTACAAAAAATATATGAAAATAAAAATAATAATGCCCGGATGCTGTGTGGATATTTTGCTCGCAAATGACTCACGGCAGAAAGGACAACGCACCCAGGAGGGGAAAAGAGGAAGGCGGGAAAAAGCGCTTAAAAAAGGTACAAAAAAAGGACAACAAACAAACGAGGCAAACAACTGAACGACCTAATTCGATGCAAAGTCAATTAATTTGTGCAGATTAATTAGTTAAGTCGAAACTAGTTGACATCGGGCCGCGCCTCAATTACAGTTTTTAGTCTCCAGTTACCCGGAACCATCCACCCCCCCCCCCTCTCACAATTCCACTCCCCCTCACTTTCGTGCTCGTTGTGGCCAAGTTCAGGTACGAGCCGTCGTAATGGCCAACTGCTGTTGACTCTGCTGTCATTAGCGTGTCCAATCATCCACCCCCAAAACTCGCGCCTCTTTGCCAAAGTCGGTTGACTTTTTAATGCGCCATTCGTTCCTTTTAATTGTCCTTTCTGATAGATAGTATGGTTTTTCTTTTTTCTACCACTATTTAATGGCTGTTGACTTTTGGCCCGTGTTTGTGACACCTCCCCAGGGTTAGATAGCGATTCGTAGCGAGATTTTAAAGCGAAGCTCAAGTTGCATTTAAGGATTAAAGACGCTTTTAGTTAATTGCGCAACACTTTGCCAGTGATTTTTATTATTTTAAGCTGATTATATCGGGGTAATCAGCTGAACTATAAAGTATCTCAAGTAAAATTATATTGTATTTAAAGAGAAAAGTGGCAAATAAGCCCTGGGGAGCTATTCAGCAATTACTTTGCAGAACTTGTTGAACTGTAATTCCCAAGTGGTTCTAACGTTAACTCACATTATAGAACGCAGTCGATAGAAAAATCATGGAACCTTTAAGAAACTATTTCTAGAAGAATGTTCTGCATGTTAGAGAAATATTATATATCAACATATATAAATTGTAAACTTATTTTCTCGCAATTTTTCGTGGATGCCTTTTGCACTTCCAATATTTTTGCTTCCTTTAATCAAATTGGCAACCTGCAGCGCCGCAAAAGTTTCCATAACTCCCACAGTTATTTTCTATATAACCATAAGCAAACCATTTCGAGAGCAATGCAAACAAGAAACTGTTGCTAATTGGATGTACAAAATGCCTGCTAACTAAATACCTGTCATAATTATGGGCAACAGAAATAGTTATCATATGTTTCTCGAAGATTAAATACCCTTGCCAAGATAAGCATATGAGAATTGCAAAATTCAAAGTGCCATAACATATTGGACAGTCATACAAGCGACTTTGACATATCTAACTAGATGAATCTTACCATGGATTTCCTTTACAATCGAGAGACTTCACATTGGGGATCTTGTATAGCAGATCTTACGATATGATAATCAGATAATAAAAATATCTTTTCATATACTACTTATTAGAACGAAGAATAAGAAAAATTAAAAGAAAATGATGGATACATCTAATTGTTTTCTATGAAATTAATAGATACCACAAAACAACAGATGTGGGTATATTGACTCGGCTATTGATTAAGTTAGTTAAGAATATCTATATATATATATATGACTGATTTACTTAATAACAACATCAAATGACCCTCTTCAAGAGTATAAAAAAGAGCCAAACAAATGTAGACATAGCTGCCAAAGCAAAGATGTTGCAGGAAATCAGCGAAATTTACTTATATACTCACAAATACTCATGCTCAAACGAATGAGTGCGAATGAGTGCAAATGAGTATGTTCAAGTATGAGTATTATGAATTATGAACCTTTTCATTACAATTGCTGACGCTCAGGCATGCGAAATATGCTGATAAAATATGTAGATGATATGTTGGAGCCGTGCGACGACTCACAGACACGCATTTATAATGACATTTTAAATGCTTTGAGCGGGATGTGCGAAGGGAATTACGTCCCGAGCATGGCGTCAGGCTACCCTCATCCGGTTTCTAGTCCTGCTCGCGTCCTTGGCGCTCTTTAAACGGAACACAATCCAGTCACGAAATATTAATACTGTCAGTCAAATAAATATGCGTGTGTGCACGAGGGGAATTATGCTTAGTTGGGTGGGATTTGTGGACATTATACCAAGTGATTGGGATAAGGCGGCGCCAGTTCTGTTTATGAGAGTAAGCGAACAGTTGGTACATGATTAAGTGCCTGCTCCTTGACTAAGAACGAAATGAACTGCAAATATATTAAGTACTTGAGAGTTTTCCTATATTTTGAATATTTATGTAGTTTGCGTGCGAATGGAAGTTTTTTAAAAAGGAGGTCACGATATGTCCTGAAATTATTTTTACAATAAATTATCTATCCAAATAATATATAGTTGACTATGAATCATAGCTAAGCATAAGACTTGTTGAATATGATCTTAACTGAAGGAATTTAAAGAAAGACGAATAGATTAAAATGTGGATAATCTTTCACTTCAATAAGCAACTTCAGACCTGAAAGATTTAACTCCTTATGGAAGAGTGCTCAAAAAAACTCGGACGGTTTCTTATAAAATTATTTGACTATATTTAATTTCGAACCTTATCTATTGTAACTTTTGTTCTTTAAATTAGTTTTTCATTTCTTTTAACCCTCTTGAAAATAATATTTAGTAAAGAAAACGACATTTTGCGACATTTACCAACACTTTTAATTTCTTTTGTAGTTAGTCAACACTGGAATAAACTGAATATTTGAGAGGAAACTTTGTGTGCTACACCCTACAAATTCGCATTGAAAGGTTGTATTAAACTTTTTGAGAGGTTGGGCGAATGTCAAAGTTCAAGCTTTGTTCTGTGACCGCCTATTTGTATTAAACTTTTAGAACTCCTCTTCTTTTATTTAATTTACAAAGTTTTCCCTATTTTCAGCTAAAATTGATTAAACATTTCCACGCCTCTGCTCTGATTTGGCTAGAGAAATTCCCAAACTAGCCCCCCTTTTCCGGGCGTGCACCCATTTAACCACTTAATATTTTCACCCCGTAAATTGTTCTAATTATATTCATAGCAAACCTTTGTTACCAATTATGCATTCAATTGTATTTTTCCGCTAACAAAACAGTGTTCCTTTTTTTTCCTATAATGTTTGTTTTTTGTTGCTTATCACAAAATCAATACGCGATGACGCGGATACTTCAGTTAGGCGGGGGATGGGGAATTGTGTGGGTAGGTTTTGATAACCCATATGCTAATAACTAATATCTGTATTATATTTATTTATGGCTTGTATTGGACATGAGCGTATGCAAGCACACGACCCAATAACAATAAAAACAACAACAACAAGGGGCGTCATTAGCAGGAAAAATCTTATCAAATTACGCATACGCCGTGTTCTACGCATGAATTGGGCTGGGATTTAAAGCCTTCCCCCGCATTTGGACGTCTTCTTATTGAGGTCAATGCGAGCTTATTAAACTACATTCATAATTTTTATGAGTCTGTTGATGAGTATAATGGGTAAATACTCGAATCTCTTGATGTGAGTATTAGAGTGAAGCTAGCACAAATAAAGCAGGGGTTGACAGCACTTGTTGTTGTTGTCTGTAGGGAGTGGAGTGGCTTTTCGGACGGACGACTCTTACTTAAATTCCACTTGTGGACGCCACACTTTGGGCCATTTGTTTGCCTCAATCACAGGATTAAGTGCACTCAGAGAAATATTGTGAAGCTTTGTAATAAAAACTAATTTTAAGTTCAGAATTCCTTGAACATAATATTATATCTAAGAGATTGTGCACTCTTTAATGATTTCACACTTGATTCGAGAACGAAATTCGTGAAAGTTCTTGACGAAGCATAACTAAATAATAAGAAAATTTTCGAACTATTCCATCTAGAAAGGGTTATAGCCTTTTTCTTCAAGTGTAAAATTTTGCCATTTATTAAATGCTTGCTTTTCGTTTCCCCCCTTACAGCGCTGGATGTTTATTTTCCCACCACGTCCGTGAAATTCAAGCTGCCCATCAATGAGGAGTCGGAGAGCATATTCTCGAAGATACCGCTGGCCCAGTTTCAAGTGTTGCGCATGGACAACAATCAGCCGGCGTCGGAGTATATATACAATCTTGAGGAGAATCCGCTGCTCCGCATCAATGCCAGCTCCGGTGAGGTGTATATGCGCACCGATTATCGTATGATTAACGGAAGCGTTAAATATGTGCTGACCGCCTTTCCGCGCCACCAGAAGGAGTCCTCCGCGGAGCAGCAGCAGCTGTTGCAGCAGGTGGCGCATCTCACACTGGAACTGCTGCCGCAATCGCTAACCGATTACTGCGCGGAACTGGAGCACATATGCTTCTGGACGGGCGCACACTATACCATTGCCGAGACCACGTCGCAGAGCCGGCACAGCTTTGAGCCTGTGCTGATTGGTGCGCTAAATTCGCGCGCCGCCAAATACCTGTGTCCGCATCGCGCCGTCGAGTATGCCCTGAAGGCGGGCAGCGCACACTTCGCCCTCAAACAGAATCGTTTGTACACCAAACAGCCGTTGGATCACGATGAGCTCAACGGACTGCAGGCACGGGCCGGCCAGCTGCTGGCCACGGTCAGCTGCACGGTGAAGCTAACCGGGCAGGAACAGCGCCAGTTCTGGCGCAGCTACAATATCACGTTGCTGGATCGCAACGACAACGGACCGCATCTGCAGGAGCGCCAACCGCACTTTAATTTCCACCTGGAGCAGCCCTACTTTAAGGCGGTAAGTGTGTGTGTGTGTGTGTGGCCCGAAGAGTTCCAGACAAACGTCTGGACGCTGTCTACGCTTGGGCTGGGTGCGGGCTTTATTGAATTCGCGCTGACAAACGCCCGCAAGACACGCAAGCGACGACCCCCGCCCCACTCCCCTCTCCCAAAACAGAATAAACCACCCAACAGGCAATCCAGTTTCCCATTATTTGGCCATTAGGAAGTCTGGCGGTTGGTTCGCTTCTTCATTTCCGTAGCTCATCATTAAAACGCGTAACTTTGTAGCAGCTTTTATGATTGCGGCACGCAGCCAGTGCTGTCAAATAATGCTAAATGCAAGCCAAAAATAGCTAAAATTAGCTAACTTATTCTACGGCCTTGAGTACCCAAAAAAGTAGCTAATTCATAAATAAAATAGACTGCTTTGCAGGCAGCTGCAAATGTATAGCTCTAAAAATAGCCAAAAATTAGCTATAAAATAGCTAAATGCACAGCACTGCTCGCAGGGTGTCAAGTGAGTCGGGTTTTGGGCCTTAAAGCTGCTACGCTTTAAGTTCGCTGCGAGCCGAAGGCTCAAATTATGTTGTCATGTTGCGGCCAAGTGGCCAGAGTCAGCGCGTAGCCAAGCCTATTCCCGCGACGCCAAAACTATGTCATTTAGTTAGTTGCAAGTAATTGCTCAACATCCTTAAAACAAGTACTATATAAAATGAAGCAACTGAGTGTGCTCGACTGGGAGATACCCTAAACTGGATTTTCTTTCACGTTTCCCCACACTACTTATGGCAAAAGCAGTGTTGATTAACTTCGGTGCTTGCAGTCCGATCTATATGAAATTTTTAGGGCTTAAATATGATAATGATTTTTCAAATTTTAAGACCTGCCATTACCTATAATGTTTTAGGTATATTTAAAATGGTATTCCTCTCCTTAGCAACAAGCTGTTGCTGCCTTCTGTCTACTTAAATTCACCCAGAACTAATATACCCTGTTTTCAATGGATTCGGGGTGCAAAAATAAAATGTCACCAAAGTTGAGCCATTACAAAATGTTGTAGTTAATTCGTATTTAAATTAAGTATTCAGCACAGGCTATAATATTATATGGGCGTAAGAGTTCTCTAATTTAATGTGTGCGCCCAAATTAACAGCCAGCTATGAAGTCAGGCAATGGATGTTGTTGGGTGTGTTACAAATAATCGTTGACAGGTGTTTGGAATTCGTGTCGAAAAGTCAAGGGGTTCAAGCTGCTTTCTTATACAAAGGATGTACTCTTTAATGCCAACTAGCTTTTAACTTTAACGGGTAGGTGGTAAAATAGGAAGTGTATATATTCTAAAAAAATCAATTTAAATCAACAAAGACCCCACCCAAATTCTAGGCTCAACTCAAAGTTCAAACTTATTTCTTATAAAAAAGATATTAATTTAAACGGGTATATGGTAAAGTGTAGCAATTTTTAAGGGAATAGTGTGAAGCTCAATCAATTAAGGCCCTTTCCTAAGGCTCAAGGCCTTGCCCAACTCTACTTTAAGACTTCTTATTATACAATTATCTAAGCTCAACTAGCTTTAAAATTTAACAGGTAGATGGTAGAGTGTAAACTGCATAAATTTTTAAAGGAAAAGACTGCAGTTTTTTCGCCTCTTACTTAAAATTATCTAAGACCCTGCCCTAACACTCCGTGCTCAAGGCCTCAAGGCTCGACTCCAGTGCCTTAGCCCAAACCCAGTTAGGAGCTGCTGTCAGCACAAAATGGTTTTATAAACAGGTTAACTTCCATACACTAGGGTGTCGTTTTCCAGTTCCTAGTACGCCCACAGCAAATGTCAGCTCCCCAAGGTGTTAACCGTAGTCCCTCCTTAGCCCCAATTGCTGACCTTGTGCATAAAAACTAGATAAAATGTTAATGAAGCTAGCCGGGAGCAGCTGAGTTCCATGGAGACAAGCTAGAGGTCACTGGGAACGGTCCACGTAGCATTTAATTATCGCGGGTCAGTTAATGTGAATGCTAATCAAGTTAAAAAAAGAAAAAAAAAAAACAAAGAACCCTTCCGTTCCATCATTGCAGGAGGAGCCGGTGGGCGAGAAAATCATCTACCTGGACAAGGACACGCTGGCGGCAAATGAGCATCTGAACTATGCCATACTTAATGATAAGCTTGGACTGGTTCAGCCCGATTGTCACGCCTACGAGGCGGATCACACTGGCAGGCCACACACCATCATTAGCTGCCGTAAGTCCAACAACAAAGTCTCTCTCTCCCTCTATACCATTTTGTATGCCCTTGCCGATTTTAATTTAAATTTTTCGTTGTTCAAACTTCACTCATTAGACAAATCCCGTTAATATCGACGTGCTCTATCATATAGATGGCACAATGAGAATCAGATATAAATGAGTTTTTATGTGGAAAACCTTTCTGTTTTTCATAGTATCCAAAATATCCAAGCTTCACTCATATGAGACAATTCCTGAAATGCTATAGTACTTCGATGTCATATAGCTACGATAGGAATAAGTTTTAAAATAAGTTTTTGCATGAAAAACTTTCTCCGTTCCTCAGAATACCTTGATCAAACTCGAGGTTTACTATGCTTCTCGCATATCTACAATTCAGTAATTCATGTTTCTGCAAGGGTAATTGATTCTCGGTATGCCGAATATAACACCTTGCTCCTGCTCTTTAATAAATTTGATTCCGGGCTCGTTTTTCTCTAGAGCTGCGATTTGCCCGGAACGGAGTGCTGCGCCAGGAGCCATACTGTTTTGATATGCAGGCCCGGGACTTGACCATTCAGTCGCCAAATGTAACGAATACGGCGACAGCGCACATCTGCCTGCACGTGGACACGAGCCAGCTGCACGAGAGCGACCAGGAGCGACCGCAGGCGCTGCCGTTGCGTGTGCGCCAGCAGCGCATCTTTGACAGCGCCGGCGAGCTGCTGCACACGGATTTGGCCGGCCGGCGACGGCTGAGCGTTGACTACGAGAAGGATGTGTTTGTGCATCGCGCAGCTGCAGCCTTTTATCGCGTGGCACAGCCTGATAACTTTGTGGAGCTGCTACGAGCGCGTGGTTGGCGCTTTGCCCTCGCCGAGGATCGCAGCGGCGCCTTTGGGCTGACCGAAACGGCGGGCATTGTCTATGTGCGCGATGCTCTGGCGCTGGAGCATGCGCCGGAGACGGTCTACTTTCTGAACGTGACCTGGTTGGATGCGGAGAAGCAGCCGCATGCGTTTGTCATCAACGTGCATCTGGTGGAGGGTAGGCCGGCGAATGCCAATTGTGAGCTGCGTCTGAAGTCCCGCTCGCAGACCTGCGCCCAGGTCAAATATCAGACACAGTGCGTCAAGTTTTGTGGCCTGGCTACCGGTGGCGGCGCGTGCGTCTGGCGCGGCACCAGCTCGGCCATGTTTGGGCGCAACTATGGCTCCTGTGTGCCGGACGCACGCTACTGTCCGGATCATGTGTGCGATGCCCTGGAGGAGTTGAATCCGCATGCCTGTCCGCAGGATTGCACGCCCGCCGCCCGCATTGTGGGCCCGCACACCACAAATGATAATGGGCGTGGCATACTGAGCGGCTCCGGCACGTGCCTCTGCGAGGACAACGGTAAATGCAGCTGCGCTCCGCTGCCCGACGAGGAGGAGGTAAAAACGCGACGCCAGCGCAAACGTAAAAATGAAACGGAACCGGAGCAGGTCAGTGCCACGCCCGTGCAGGTGGTGCAGGGCGGCGAACAGCAGGATCCGGATCAGGATGCACTGGCGTTGGGCGTACTGCATTTGGCGGGCATGGAATGCAATCGCTCCTGTCTGCTGGTCGTCATCAGCTGCCCGCTGCTCTTTGTGCTGCTGCTTCTCTGCCTGCTGCTCTCGCAGCGCAAGCTCTGGCAGCGCAAGCTGGGCAAGCAGTCGGCCACGCCGGGCAACAAACTGGCGCTGCCATCCAATCTCGAGGCACTGGGCGGCGATGGTGATCTGCCGCTTATGCCGCTGCAGAGCGGCTTCAAGTTTGAGAGCGCCGATGCCAAGTGGGAGTTTCCGCGCGAGCAACTGCAGCTGGACACGGTGCTGGGCGAGGGTGAGTTCGGACAGGTGCTGAAGGGCTATGCCACCCAGATAGCCGGGCTGCCCGGCGTCACCACCGTCGCCGTGAAGATGCTCAAGAAGGGCGCCAATTCGGTGGAGTACATGGCCCTGCTCTCGGAATTCCAGCTGCTGCAGGAGGTCTCCCATCCGAATGTCATCAAACTACTAGGCGCCTGCACACAATCCTCGGAGGCACCGCTGCTTATTATAGAGTATGCCCGCTACGGATCGCTGCGAAGCTATCTGCGACTCAGCCGGAAGATCGAGTGCGCCGGCGTCGATTTCAGCGACGGCGTTGAGCCTGTCAATGTCAAGATGATGCTCACCTTTGCCTGGCAAATATGCAAGGGCATGAACTATCTAACGGAGCTGAAGGTGGGTTAACTATTTGACATGATTAGGTTGGGATATGGAGTTAGGATTACATAGAGAACTGTGTTAGTTGGGATGTGATCTAAAAGAGGTTAAGCTTCTAGATATGATTGGGTAACCTAGGATTGCCCAGAGGCCTAGTGTACTCTGAGGTTAGTAAGCAGTGTGAAGGCAAAAGGTTGATTGGGTAAGCTGCTAAGCATGATTCGTTTGGGTTAAGCAGATGGGTTTATCCAAAAGTCTGGTGGGAAGAAGGATCATTATGATTGGGTTAGCCTAAGTCGGGCGCACAACTAAATTGTCCTTGTGTCGCACATGGGAGATTAGTGAAGGGCTCGGCTAAGAAAAGAGAGCAATTTTCATCAGATATTCCAATGAAGTTCCGCACATGGACGTCCTTTCAAGCGGTTCACTAAATGACTTCGAACAGCTCGGGTCATAGGAGCCTAGTTCATTGCGTCCAGTATAGGTCTGCTATTGATACTTTCCCGCTGATACTTCTCTTTATTAGCTGGTGCATCGCGATTTGGCTGCACGCAATGTGCTACTCGCCGATGGCAAAATATGCAAGATCTCCGATTTTGGACTGACGCGCGATGTCTACGAGGATGATGCGTATTTAAAACGCTCCAGAGATCGTGTGCCCGTCAAGGTGAGTCGCCCACAAGAGCTGTTTAACCATATATGCCTAATACATGTATCTCTTTCTCCTCTGCCAGTGGATGGCGCCGGAATCTCTGGCGGATCATGTGTACACCAGCAAATCGGATGTCTGGGCATTTGGTGTGCTTTGCTGGGAGCTAATTACATTGGGTGCTTCTCCATATCCCGGCATAGCGCCACAGAATCTCTGGTCCCTGCTCAAAACGGGCTATCGCATGGAACGTCCAGAGAACTGCTCCGAGGCTGTTTACTCCGTGGTGCGTACCTGTTGGGCTGATGAGCCGAATGCGCGTCCATCCTTTAAATACCTGGCGGCGGAATTTGAGAAGCTGCTGGGCAACAATGCAAAGTACATTGAGCTGGAGACGAATGCCGTATCCAATCCGATCTATTGCAGCGACGAGGCGGCGTTAATGCCCAGCCAGGAGGTCGTTGAGCAGCTGGGCGAGCCGGAGTCACTGCAGCATCTGTGGTCGCCGCCAAAGTTAAACAGCTACGATCAGGATCTGGCCAATAGTCGTGAGGAGTCTGTAACTGAATTTCGGACGACAGCGACGGCAGCAGCTGCCCCACCCGGCTACGATCTGCCGCGTCCATTGATCGAGGCCCGCACCACGGAACAGGTGCTGCGCTATGAGAACGATTTGCGCTTTCCGCTCAACATACGCAAATCGAGCTGTGCGCCCAGCTACAGCAACATGGCTAATGGCTGTGCCACAGCCCTGCCCGAGTATGCGGTGCCCGTGAAACGTGGCCGCTCCTACATGGACATGACCAACAATACGCTAATACCCGATAATCTCGATAATCGCGATTTTGAGAAGCATCTCTCCAAGACCATCTCATTTCGTTTCTCTAGCTTGCTTAATCTCAAGGAGCCCGAAGCGCCCCAGTCACACGCCGAGGATGCCGTTTAAAGGTTGTCCTCCATTCACTTTAGTCACGTTTTTCCCCAAAATTCATACAAAATATTTTCCAATAGCGCCTGATTTTTTAGTTCAAATTGTTTGTTAATTAGTTTTAATCCTATGTCTATCATAATTAGCTTTATAATGTTGCCAAAATTAACTCGAATACTCTGTTTACAGTGTGAAGCTTATGAGATTCTAAAATCGAAACTATCCAAAATCTATAGATAATGCTTGCTATAATTTCATCCATCTTTAATGTGGTTTTTCTGTATTCTGGTTCTACAATTTCTCCAAAGCCCATTTTAATGCTTATATAGGGATTTAACTTTGGTAACGGACCAATTCCCGAAGCATCCAATTATTTTAGTGTACTCGGAAAACTACCAACAAATTTCCATTATTTATTTTAATCGATTATCTCAATTCCTTATGAAATTACATAATTTACTAAATATTTTTCAGAATTTTTACTACGCAAGTTTTAGAAGATTTTTGTTGCAGGCCTTAACACTCCAATACTATTAAACTTAAACTTTATCTTTAACTTTCATCATTTTACAACACTGTTCACATTCCAATATATTATCACGCATCGAAATATTTATGAACTTATACTCTCCTAAGCTTTTGCCATATTTATAAGAGCTCTAGTTGCCTTTTGACGAAAATTGGAAATTGAATCGCTAGTCTTAAGCCTTAAAAAATAAAATAAAATAAGGTATGTATATTTTCTAATTTGTAATTACCTATAAAAGTATACGCTTCTTGTCGCAAATACACAAAAAGATCATGATTTTAGCTTTAAGCAAGGGAAATCAAAACGTTTGCGTTGTGCAATTTCTAAAATACTTATTTTTGAAATTTTTTGAAAGTCACTATCATACCAAATATTAATATTTATTCAAAAGATCCTTTCAAATTTGCTTAAGATTTGCGCACAATACAAAATTTTAACGCCAAGTATTTTTAGCACCGTGCTTCAAGTTATGCACTTGCTTTTATATATACTATATATATATAAGAAATTTGACCATTTGTACTTATTGATGTATATGCCAAAAACTAGACTGTATATAATATATTAATATAAATTTGTATGCCATTTATATATAATAATATTCAATATAAATATATATATAAAATTAAAAATTTGTTCTAACTGTTAGAGATACGAAGCTGAAGGTCCGGATTATATCAAGAGTTAAGATTACCACGAGAATTTTAAATATTTAAACTTTATCGTCGGACAAACAATCGGGACATCGGCGGTTCTAATCTAGTAGCAATTGTCAATTTGTATATTCATTTATTATATTGGTTAATAGTTAAATGTGGGCGAATGCATAGACGTATGATGGGTATTCGAAAAATGGCGCAGTTTTTAACCCGGACGATGCCGGGTAATTTTTTTTTAGTATATATATATATATTTAAAATACAAGAAAGTAGACGAACCCCATGTCTATTCCTCCTCGGGCACTAGCAAATTCAGACTCGCCGCGCTTGCCACGCTGCCCAGAAAGGTCTCCTCATCGCCGCGCACCGATAGTGCCTCCCGGCCCGTGCATACCTTGCGCTCGCGTATCATGGCTGTGCGCTCCCAGCGTGAACCCTTGCAGCTGCTGCAGCTATGCTTGGGCAACTTAAAAACGGTGGTTGTGCGATTACCGCAATCCTTGCACTGAAAGAAACGCTTTTGTGCATCGACCACTTTAAGTGGATGCTTCTCCTCTTTGCAACGCTCGGCGGCCGCAAATGCGGTGTATTTGCAGCGCTGGCAAATGACAGCCTTGCAGGGCATTTTATATGTGCTTAGCATTTTCTCCTCCATGGCCTCTTTGCGCTCCAGCTTATCGAAGTAATCGCTTTGGGCCTCCCGCTCCCGCAGCTCGACTAGATTTGTGTGCGACGATGTGGCGGCCATGATACGTTCTATGCGAGATTTACGCATTATTTCGCGTTCCTCCTCCTCCAGTTTTTGACGCTTTCCACTGGTGGAGAACTTGTCGTGCAGCTCATCGATGGCACGCCGTTTGCCCGTTGCGGTGCCGCGCGTGGAATTCGGATTAACCTTTTCCAATGGCTTCTTCTTGAGCAGCGCAGCTGCTTTCAGTTTGGCGCTCTGCGCCTGTCGGGCTCCAATGTTTACCTCGAAGCTGAAATTTTCGCTGCCAGCGAGCTTGGGCGTTAGGCTGGCATCAAAGGAGAAGCCACGATTCTTAAACTTTTCCGGCACGCTTTGTGGCGTCGTGGGCGTGACAGCATCCATAGTCGTGGGCGTTGTGGGTGTTGCAGGCGTGGCTTGAGACGTTGCCGGTGCCTGTTCAAAGCGTTCGCTTTCCGCACGCAGCTGCCGCAAACGCTCTAGATCCTTATAGCGCTGTTTGCTTGTTGCCTCCACATTGCCTGCCAGGCGAGAAACGGGCCCACCGCGCTCCGCATACGGTACATCTATGGGCAAGCAGCTTCTCGGCTTTGATTCGTGATCAACGCTGTGCGCAAAGGGCGACACATCGTAGCCGGCCAGCTTGCTGAGACGCTCGCGCTCCTTGTTGATTAGCTTGGCGCTCTTGCGTGCTGGCACCGCTGAGAAAATCTGTCCACCATAGAAAACCTCGCTCTTGCCTGTGAAAATACATATGAATAAAGGCTAAAAAAATACATATATAACAACTCACCCAACACCTTGTTGCGCAACTCGTTTAGACCGCGTCCGGTAGTGGCCGATTGCAGCTCGGACCGCCTGGACATTTTACCAAACTCCTGCTTCACATGGAACACACAGTAATCGCAGTCAGTTAGATTCACCAAAGAAGTGCACTTGTCGCCATTCTTTTTGGTTGCCCGGCATGTGCCCAAATCCTTGGACTGGCCCAGTATCATCACCTTCTGTGAGGTATCAATGGACAGGCAGGCGACATCTTTGCTGCCCGCGCGCTTCTCAAAGATCGTTGGATTTAGGACGGCCAGACACATGCCCTCTGCGGTTTTCCACAGCGCTTTGTGCGCCTCTTTGAAGAGGAAAATGGAGGCAGTTTTCATTTCACCTCGTAGATCTGAAAGACGCCACGTGGAGTAGGGATCCCCTTTTTTCGTATTGCGCACCGGCTGCTTGGACACCAAGGCACCGGCAATGACCCAATCCTTGGACAAATCGCCGCGTTCTATATGAAATGCTAGACCCGAAAAAGGCACCGACTTGCGGCCGTCCATGCGCTCCTGCAGCAAGGCGCTGGATATCAACGGATTGATCATGCGCAGCCCAAATACGGGATCTGTATAAATAGCCGAGATCGTAGTCTTTTGTAGAGATTGGCCCGAGGTTGCGGCTGCCGCTGCTGCCTGCGGTGGTCTTTGGAAAGAGTTGCTCGCTAGCGCCTTTCGCTGGATGGGATTGTGCGGGTTTTTAAGACGCAGAGCCTCCGGCTGTGCCGTTGATTCGACCAGTTTTACACCTGCTCTCAACGACTGGTCCACCTCGCGAGCCACTTTGCTCTCGTGTGCACTTTCACGCTGCTGTTTAAGTTTTTTATTGATATCACTGCCATATTCATTATACTTGCGCTCCAAGAAGTTCTTGACCTCTTCGTCGTCAGATGAATCGAGTTCCGGTTCATTGGATTTGAGTTTTGACTGTACTTTTGTCTGCGTTGGCTTCACGGTCACCTCATAGCTGAAGGCGTCTGCGAAGCTACTGTCTTCGCGTAATCGGGGTACTGCAGTGGCCAAAGTGAGTGGCGGCGGTGCCAGTGCTGACTTTGCATTCTCCGCATTATCGTTTTCAGCTTCGCCCAGCAGTTTTTCAAGTGCCAGTATTTCTGCTTCGTCGTCAACGCTTATATCGGACTGTGATGCATTTGCTGGACCCATTGTATTTGTTTAATTTAAGAACACTTACTAGTTTTCACAACGTAACCGAATTAGCGCGCATCCGAATCATTTTTGGCGGGCCCAGCTGGTGTGTATTGAGTAATGCTGTAGGTCGTGCATTTGCCAACACTAACGATACAGCTGCTTTAATTTATCGTTTTACATATTTGCAGCAACGCTGACATTAATACTCATCCAGTGCTGTGTAATCGTAACTCACTCGTGTTCATTCATTTGGTTCAGTTTTAAGGAGCGAACTAGATTGCATGAAATGTGCAAAAAATACATTTTGGTAGTGCTTAAGCTTACAAATAAATATGCTTTTCGAACATCCTGTTTAATATGTATACGAATCGATTAGACAAAGAGTCTACATGTATGCAGCAATTTACAATAAGCAACAGGGAATTGAGCATAAATAATGAACACTTCCGAATTATTCAAATGATCCAATAGTTCTTTTTCGCTCATGCACAACCCAACACTAATTTCTTCGTCAATATGTCATCTTTCGGCTTTTATTCACGAAAAGTTTAGTTGCAGAGCCCCGTAATATTTAAATTTTAATGCTCTGGACAGTGCTAAATCGTAGCCAGCCGCCTGTCTAATAAACGAGAACAACACGGAACATCAAACAGACACCCACGCGCCTGCTGCAGCGGCTCTCGTAAGGCCCTGAAAATTGTCAAATATTTGCGGTTTGGTCGGAGACGGACGCGGTGCCGTTTTGCCCAAAAAAGAAAAAAGAAGTGTGCAAAAATCAAAGCTAACCGGGATTCCGCACCCAAAAGAAACGTGTATTTAGTGTGTAAGAATAAAGTTTTCAGCCTTAACTACAGGCCTACAGCTCCGCCCGGCAATTAGTAAGCAGGTAAGAAATTCAACATCAACCAGCGCCTCCCACAAACCGCGCATCACAAGCTCTTTTTTTTTGCATTCTTTTTTTTTGCGTGAGCAAATGCGTGTTTTTGACCGACATTTGTATGCGCTTGCAAATCGCATGACATAAAGATAATTGTGGTCGTTTTGTGGTTATAAGCTTGGTTCAATACCATTTCCCACGTGCGTGTCCTCAATGCGCATCTCAAATTGCTTTTTGTTGTTGTTTTTGCTGCTTGTTGATAGCCTTTGACTCGGACTTGGGTGTTTGTGTTACTGTTGTTCTTCTTATCGCAATGCAACTTTGCCTGAGCGCATGCTGTGGCGAAACGGGCACACAGATAATTGATCCGAAATTGTTTTAAAAATGCAAAGCATAGAGTTGCCACACAAACACAATAACAACTGTAAGACACACTGCCTGTTTACCGTTGCCTTTGCACATTTTGATTTACGCATTTTCGCATTCCACGGCATTTGCATTACCAGCGCGTGTTTTGAGTTTTCATTCGCCTGTCACCTCTTTAGCTCAGTTCTCCTTGCACATATAAAAACACACACACACACACATACATATATATATATATATATCACCCGCTCTCTCATGCTCTTTCTGCATGTCATCTGTCGCGGTCACTAGCCGGCCCCGGTCCCGGCCCCACATACTCAGATGCAGAAAAAAAAATAAAATAAATGGACCAATGTGAATTTTTGTTTAAAAAGTACGAAATCTGTTTTTTATTCGCCGACTCGCATATTTACGTCAAATTCCTCCGCACCCGCAGCTTACGCTCATAGCACTGGTAAAGAAAAATATGCTCAACTTATTTTCACGGCGTCGCCTCTTGA